GACCAATAACTAGTAAGAAAGTGTTAACACTGGCACCAAAATTTTCATTTAATAACTTCTCTTCTAGTAGAAGCATAGTCTACCCATATGTTCCAATTCCTTCCCTTATTAAATTCTTAATGTAGCTTACAAAGTAGTGGGTTCCCAAGGCTAGAGAGATGACTCATGGATTAAGAACATTGACTGCTCTTCCAGATGACTTGTGTTCAAGTCCCAGCACCCACATATTAGAAAAACCACAAACCTAACTCTGGTTCCAGAGGCTCTCATGCCCTCTTCTGGCCTCCTGTGACATCAGGTATACACACACATATACAAAACACCCATACACATAAAATAAAAATAAGTCTTAAAGAACTGTAGTGGTTTGAATAAGAATGACCTCCATAGGCTCATAATTTGAGTGCTTTGTCTTCAGGGAGTAGAACAGTTTTAAAGGGTTAGAAAGATTAGGAGGGACTAGAGAGATGACTCCAGAGGCTAAGAGCTAAGACTTCCAGAGATCCTGAGTTCAATTCCCAGCAACCACATGGTAGCAAATAACCATCTATAATAGGATCTGGTGCCCTCTTCTGGCACACAGGTATACATGCAGGTAGAACACTCATGCATTCATTAAATTGATTTTTTTTTTTTTTTTAAAGAAAGATTAGAAGGTATGGCCTTGTTGGTTTCAAAGGCCTAAGCCAGGCCCAGTGTCTCTCTTTCTCTGCCTGTGGATCAGGATAGAAGGGGCTTCTGAGAGGGGAGGGAAATGGGCCAGTTAGATAGAATTTCAAAGTAGTTTTAATTTGTGTTTCCCTGGTAGCTAATGATGATGAACATTTAAAAAAAAAAAAAAAAAAAAAAAAAAACCTTACTAGATGATGGGCATGGTGGCACACACCTTGAATCCTAGTACTTCAAGGCAGAGACAGGTTAATCATTGTGAGTTGAACTTTAACTGCAAGCAAGTTCCAGGCCAGCCGGGGCTACATAATGTCAAAATCAAAATCAAAAACAAACCAAAATAATATAAAACACACACACAAAAAATGTTTATTAGCCATTTGTATTTCTTCTTTGGGACCTTTCTGTTCAGTTCTATGGCCCATTTTTTTTAAATTGGGTTGTTTTCTTGTTTTGTCTCTTGAGTTCTTTGCATGTTCTAAATTCCTAATCTTTTATCAGATAAATAGCTGGCATTCTCTAGGCTGACTCTTCACTTAAGTGACATGTTTCATTAAATCTTGATTGTTGATTGACCTTACTTCTTGAGCAATCACAGTCCTATCCTGAAAACCCTTAAAGTGTACTGTTTTTTCCTCTTGCAGCTTTTGCTCTTAAATTGAAGTCCTTTATCCATTTGGAGTTAATTTTGTGCAGAGTGAGAGGTTGGGATTTAATATTCTTCTACATGTATAGTTTCCCCAGCTCTGTTTGTTGAAGATGTTGTCTAAAGTGTGTATTTTTAGCATCTTCATCAAATATCAGGTGGCTATAGTTGTGTGGACTCTTTTACTTTTTGTTGATCAGTGTGTCTTTATTACTGTGGCTCTGTAGTACAATGAGATCAGGTGTGGTGATATCTTTAGCAGTATTATTTTTTACCCAGAGTTGCTTTGCCTCTCCAGGTCTCTTGTGACTCCACATGAATTTAAAGATAGCTCTATTTCTATGAAGAATGCCACTGGAATTTTTATTGGAATTGTAGTCAATCTGTAGGTTTCTTTTAGTAAGTAAGCCATTTTTTTAAAATATTGATAGTTTTTTTCTAGTTCATGAGCATGGGATATGTTTTCATCTTCTGGTTCTTGCTCACTTTCTTCTGTGTTTTGTAGTTTTTCTTTGTGTGTGTATATATATGTGTTTGTATGTTATGACTTTCATATCCTTGATCAGGTTTATAACAAGTTTTTGTTTGGGGGTTTTTGTTTTGTTACTTGTTTTCTTTTTCAAGACAGGGTTTCTCTCTGTAGCCCTGGCTCTCCTGGAACTCCCTTTTTAGACCAGGCTGGCCTCAAGCTTACAGAGATTTACTTATACTCTTGAGTGCTAGGATTAAAGGTGTGTGCCACTATGCTTAGCTAACAAGTTATATTTTTAAAGGTGGGTGTAAATTAGATTGTTTCTCTTTGCCTTTCTAGTTTGTCATTGTATCTATGAAGGCTAATGCTTTTGTGTGTTAATTTTGTATTTTGCTGCTTTACTGCAAGTATTTGTCAATTCTAAGAGTTTTCTGGTGGAATCTTTAGGATCCATGTGGAACTTTAACATCTACAAATAGTGCTGCTTTGACCTCTTCCTTCCCTGTTTTGTTCCCTTTATTTCCTTATCTTACTGCTACAGCTAAGACTGCTAGCACTGTATTGAATAAGAACAGAGCAGGTGAACATCCTTTTCTTGTTCCTGATTCAGTGGAAATGTGTGTGTTTCCCCCCATTTAACATAATGTTGGCTTTGGGCTTGTCATATCTTGCCTTTATTGTGCTGAGTTATGTTCTTTCTACTGATTTTCTTTCTCTCCCTTTCTTTCTTTTTTTTTTTTTTTTTTTTTTTTTTTCCTCTTTTTGGGGGCAGGGTTTCTCTGTGTAGCCTTGGCTATCCTGGAACTCACTCTGTAGACCAGGCTGGCCTCAAACTCAGAGATCTGCCTGCCTTCCCTAATGCTGGGATCAAAGGTGTGTGCTACCACCACTTAGCTTACTCTGAGTTAACATGAAGGGATGTTGAATATTGTCAGATGCCTTTTCTTCATCCATTGAAATGACAAGGTGATTTTTGTCCTTGAGTCCATTTATGGTAATTTATAACATTCATTGATTTACCCATATTGGAATAGCTCCAGAATAAATCTAATCTGATGTTTTCTTGAAGTCAATTTGTACCTTTATCGTGTGTGTGTGTGTGTGTGTGTGTGTGTGTGTGTGTGTGTGTGTGTTCATTCATGCATGTGCATATCAGGTCACATGTGGAGATCAGAGGACAACTACATGAGTCAGTTCTCTCTTTATATACCTTGTGGGTTTTAGAAATTGAACTTAGGCCATTAGGTTTGGTGGCAGGTACTTTTATCCATTGAACCATCTCACTGAACCAGGTGTGGATGGCTTAAAGGGAAATTTTTTATTTTTGTAATTAAAACATGAGTTAATTTAAAAGTATAGCCTTAGCTTGGGGAAAGGGTGAACATGGGGAACAGCATTTGGGATGGGGACAGCTCTAGTTTAGGTCCGTTCTTGTTTAGCCTGTACAGTAATAAGAATATAGCTTTGACACACAGAGACAGGGAGCAAGCAGGGTATCTACAACCAGACAGGAATAATGTAGATGGATGACACAGCAGCACAGCTTTAAAAAAAATTATCCTCCAAAAGGAGGAGTCCCTCCCACAAAAGAGGTATTTCCCCCTTCAGGGTGTTTGCCCTAAAATACTCAGAGTTTTCTGCAGAAGTCATTCCCTGTGTTAACTGTCTTAACTGGCTCAAACTCTGCCGGGATCATTTCCAGGTTGAGATGTTTCTTACTACCTGCTTGCTTTTCCTTGCAGCAAGGGAGAGAATAGGCAAATGGAGTGCTGCCAGCCAGCTTGGTAGAGGTGGAAGTGACTTTGGTCCTTATGAGAAAGGAGACATTGGGAAAAGATTGATGTGGGAGGAGACATTGAAAAAGAGGAAATAACAGAAGCTCAAAAGGTTGAGTTTTATTGCTGTAGCTGGTAGAGCTGGGGAGTTATTGAAATAGATTCTTCATCCTGGGCAGCACCTCTGAAGAAAGCACAGCAGTTAAAGGTGTCAGTGGTGTTCATTGCTTGCCAGCCATCACCCTTGAGGGATCCTGAAAAGACAAATTTAATCAGATGATGTGAGCTCCTGAGTATTGACTACTGATTGAGCATAACAGTAGTTCTGAGGTGGTTTCTCATATTGTAATTTGTCAGATGCTACTTTGGGAATGTTCCTTTGTCTGTTCTTTTAGTTGCAAAAGGTAAAGGAAGAGTTGGGCCCTTGTGCCCACTTCTGGCTAATATCTATCCTGTTGGTATATAAGGGAGCCTGGGTAAAATGAATTATCCAGACTTCTCTGTGATATGTAAATTGTGGGTCAGGCCATATGAGCTGACCCTAAAACTGCCTGGTAACCCCAGCCCTCCAAGGTGTCCCCCTTTTCTGTGATAAGCTGCTCCAGACAATCCCAGAGCGCCAGGTGTTGTTCCCAAGGGTCCAAATAATACAGTGTTTTTCAGAGTTATCCCACTCCTCAGTGGTAAACACTGCTGTGGCTCAGAGGCCACTTGGAGCACATAGATCCTGTGTATTATGTTTTTGTTAGCAGAATAGGGAAGCTTCACATTGGGCTGCAAAGCTAGGGCTTGAGCCAGCAGCTGGAGAGAGTCCAGGACTAGAGCGGTTGGGGATTTGAGGTGGAAAACAGAGGGAGAGGGAGTGGCCGGAGGACAGAGCAGCATAAGCGAGCAGTCCACATTGCTTTGCCTTTAGCTTTTCTTTCAGCAGAGCAGACTTCAGTTATGCCAGAGGGCTACCTGGCCACCATTGCCGAGACTAGAGGGGAGGGTGCTGCCTCACAACCCTGACTTAACCATACTGCACCGGACTATTCCAAGTAGCTTCTGTGCTATCTTTCCCTTGGAGGCAAGTCTCCTCCCAGTCGTCCCCTCCTGCTCCTCCCCCTGTTCTGTGAGAGATGATGCGGTTCTCTATCGCTAGGCTCTGCCGGCTGATGTCACTGGCAGCGGGAAGCATCAGCAGCCTGATCACATGCTACCTAGTCTGTAATGCAGATGGGATAGGGGTGTGTTGTGGGGAGGGGGCTATATGGCAACTATTCTTGTTTGAATGCCCCCAAAAGTACCGAGGCAGCAGCTGCAGCGTCCAGCCAGCTTGGATGTCTCGCCCCTGAACCTGGGGAAACTATTATTGGTGGTATTTATTGTTGATAGTATTGAAGGGAACAACCCTTAACTCTAGGGGTTTGTTTTGCTGTTCTCCTTTCTAAAGCAGACTTCCAGGACTCTGAAGAAACAGTTTCAAGCAGGATGCTTTTCCCCACCTCTGTGCAGCAAGAGTCTCCCCGTGGCCTCCCAGATGCAAATGGCTTGTGCCTTGGCCTGCAATCACTCAGTCTGACTGGCTGGGACCGACCCTGGAGCACTCAGGACTCAGACTCCTCAGCCCAGAGCAGCACGCAGTCGGGTAAGTGCAAGAGAATAAGGTGGCTGGCTGGGGGAGGGGGATGAGTGGGGTAGTAAGCTAAGATACCAAAGCAACAGTTGTTCTATTCCCCTTTGCATCACTCCCCCTATATACAGGCAACACAGAGCTGTTTTGCAATCGATGGTAGCTGTGAATGTTGCAAGACAGATAGATGGCTGCTGGTAAAAGCAGATACAGCTTTTCTAACTTGCTCTGACAAATTCCCTGGAGTTTTTAGTCTACACCTGAGGTATCCCTGACAAGGGTCCCCAAGGTTACAACCTTTTACAGATCCATCTAAGCCCCTGGTTCCCAGGCCTGTCTTAGAGATGATGAAGCAAAACACTTTTAGGTGGGGGAGGGGACTTAAGGGACTGACTGGATGACCAGATTCTGTTTGGTGGTTTTAAAACTAGAGAGCTGTATGTAAAGGTTGAATAACCCTGAGTCATAGCAAAGAAGATTAACTTAGCAATTTTATTTGAATTAACATTAGGATTTCATTAACATTAGGTTAAGAACATCAATCCTGAAAGGGGGCTGGCTGGGAGAGAAGGTAACTCCTAGATACAGAGAGGAAGAGGTGGCCCTCTCCTCTCCTCCCACCCTATCTTGACTGTTGAAAATAACTAATGGATGAGGGGCCACTCCCCTTTAGGGTCCCCTGTCTTCTTGGTATAGAATTAGTGGGAACAAATTACAGGGAGTTCTTCACATACCTTTGAACTGTTTCTTCTCAGACCTTCCCATTACATGTTTATTCCCTTCTTACAGTATTGGGGGGGGCGGGTATTGGCCAAATGAAAACCTTATGATTGTCCATGAAAAAGTGTGACCTTAAATGCTTCAGTATTATTCAAAATCAATATATTTTATTTACGTTGTGTTATAATATAAAAGTATTAGCAGATTCTGTAAAAGGAAAAGTGGGGGGCTGGGGTACCTGTAGCCATCTGCTATTGCTGCTGACAGGAATATACTAAGCCTCTGTCCTTTCAGATAACTTCCTCAGTCTAGGACAGCAATCCTGACAGCAAGGTACTATGTTCATTTCTCAGGCCTCCACCCTATTTGGTGCAGGAGATTTTTTGGTTGTTTTGTTTGTTTTAATGCTTTGCAGAGTCTGGGACTCTTAATGTCCCATTTACTTTGGTAAAATGCATTGGATAAGAGGAAGGTTTTGTTTTGTTTTGTTTTTTCCAATTGCCTTGTGGGTAGGATATCTTGAAGGTAAAGTTATCTTGAGTACTCCAGATTTTTTTGGAAATGTTAACTGTCCTGTTACCTAGGCCAGGAAATGTGTCAATATCATTTGTTTTGGAGGCCACAGTAGGTTCTTTTATTTGTTCTTTGAAACAAGCCTTGTCCTTTCTCTACTCCCACAGGATCTGAGCAAAAGAAGAATTCACACAGGAGATGAGCACCTGTGTGTGGTCATCGCTGTCTGATTTGTGCTGGCATCAGATTTGGATATGGCCCTTCTTTGGCTCTTGTTTCTCTTAGCTACAAAGTTTGCTTCTGAAATATAACTTTAGAACCATAGAGATTTAGATGTGTTCATCTTGAGGTTTAGAGAGTACTCCAACAGCTAAACAGTAAGATGACTGTCTGCTCAGGAATGACCTGAGCAATGTAGCAGGACTTTGTCTTATAAAAGAAAGAAAAGTTCAGTCTAGGCATAATTCTGTCAGCTTTCCTACACTCTAAAAAACCTGATCTTACAGCTGTTGGTCAAAAGGGGGGATGTTTTCCTTCACTTTCCATCTCAAGCACTTTAGTGATAAATACTACATGATTTTGTACATCAGAGAAGGAATGCAGCCTGAACTTCTGAATTTGTAAAGACCTGAGACTAGCAATGATCTGGCTGTGAAGACAGGATTAACATGTGTATATGTATCTCTTGCTTTCTGGGGGAAAAGGCACACACATCCCTCATCTCCATGCTGTTTGCCTTTAGGAGCTGTGGTGGCAGCCTTCTCCTATTCCTAAGCTTTGTGCCTTCCTGGAAAGCCCATATGAGGGTGCTGTCTCCTAGAGTAGGATGGAGCCCTCCCACCAGCCAGCTGCAGTGCCAGATCGTGCACCCTTGCCAGTAATGCAGGAACACTCAGCCCACATTCCAGTGCCCACACTGCCTTCCCATCTGAAAACCAACTCCCTTGGTTTCTTGAGGAGGGGAGGAAATAGTTCAATAGCTGCAGGAAATCTGAGTTATGCTTGCAAGCAGTCTGATAATACTATTGTCTCTGTGTGGAACCTAGGGTGCAAGCATACCGCTTTGACTCTGGTTGGTGATACTTTCTCCAGAAAGCTGTAGCCTCACAACTTAGTCTTTACCACTATTAAGTATTTGATAGTGCATTGGGTGAGGTTGGAAAGTAGGGCTCTTGATGGAAAATCTTGACTTTAAATCACTCAGTAGGCATTAGACACCAGCTATATGACAGAAACTGTTTTGGGCACTGAAGTTGTATCAGTGAATAGGATAAAATCATTGCCATTAAGAATCAGTAGGGCTGAGCAATTAGCAGGTAAAGGCACTTGCCACCAAGCTTGACAACTTGAGCCTAATCCCTTGGACCTACATGTTAGAAGAAGAGAGCCAACTTGTTTTCTGACCTACACACATGTTTATACATAGCACACATACAGGAAATAAATGGAATGTGAAATGTTAAAAGAATCACCATGACTATCAAAGGAAAGTCCTTTATTAGAATACCATGGCTGTGGAAGCTTCCTCAGTACCCTGGGATAGGGATACTTTGTCACCTTGTATTGATTTTCTTTTCTTTTTTTAGTGCCGAACATATCACATAATTTTTTATGCTTGCACAGATGGTGAAAAAGGCTCACAGAGGTTGCAAAGTGCCTGAAGTGACATACCTATTGTCAGGCTCAGCACCCCACACCTGTTGCCTTTGTTCTAACCACGCCCATTCTTCTTGTTAAATCCCTTTCTTGTGACCAGAACCTTAATTGTTAGGCAAGAAGACTTAAGGTAACCTCATGTAGTGCAGGGGCTATGTAGCCAGAGGTGTGTGTGCTCCATTGATGAAATCTCTTATGGTGAGGGCACTCAGCAGACAGTCCCCACTTGCTTTCCACCTTCGGTCTCAGTTCATCAGCTTAAGCACCCACTGGATTTGTCTTTCTGCCTCTTCCCTCATGACTCTTCTGTGTGCAGCATTACTCAGCAGGAAGGACAGTAAGGTGACTTTTTGAATCTACACAAGAGACCTGGGAAAAAGGACTTTTAATGACCACTGTACAAAAGCCCAGTAGGCAAGTGAGATAGATATTCAGCCTAAGGATGCCAGAGGATATGTCTTGTCTATTCTCAATTCTTTTTAGAAGTCTCATGGGATTAACCCGTTCACTCTTTGTTTTCTGTCCTGTTGACTAGTTGAATGGAAATGTTCCCTTATGTTGTGTCATTTGCAGACTTCCCCATTGATCCACAGGGTAGATCAGCCTGGAATGACACAAATGCCTTTGGTAATTTTCTTTGCTCTCCCAGCCTTTTTCAAACATTGTTTTTGAAGCAGCATTCAAAATAGGGTTAGGCTTTTATGTGAACTATGGACTTCCTGAGCCCAAATCTACTTCCAGTACACAGCTATGTCTCAGGCTAGAAATAATGGCTTCTGGTCTAGATTTTCTCTGTGACCACTCTTACTAGATTAAAAAAACATTTGATGATGGTGTACTGGTCCTAACCCCACTACAGCTGTGAGCTTGAGCTGAGAGGTGTGTCTGCAATACAGGCATCCAGTGCTAGTCCCTACTGCTGTTCAGTGCTGCCATCAGGTCTGGGTACCTTTAGACTCTTGGAGAGAGAGGAGGCTTCAGAATTTTCCAACAATGATTCAGCTGAAAATCCAGGGACCTGGCATAGAAAGAGAAGGGTGAAAGCAGAGAAAGTTAAAAATCAGTCTAAAAATATTACTGCTGATTTAGTCTCTTGTACTCTGAAATGACATTAATGAGTTGGAACCTTCTGCCAGAATGGACTGTAAAGGGACGGTCAGGTCATTTGAGGGCATCTGACTTTGGGTCACAGTTTCCAGAAACTTGGCTCATTCTGTGGCCTGAAAGAGATCTCTCAAACCAGCTTAATTCAGATTCTCCCCTATTGTTGACATTCATTGCATCCCTTTTGCTTTCAGCTTGCATTTTCTCTGTATGTAGTTGTATATATACGTTCTTTGTGAACCATTAAAAATAAAAGTGAGTTTACCTAGATTTGTCTACAACAAAACAATAGTGAACTTTGGGCAGTTTAAAACAGATGTATTCACTTATAAAACTATTTTTATATTCCAAATTTGTCATTTGTCCAGTGTTTCAATAATTTTTGTGTGTGACCTTATCCTTTAATGACTGAGCCATCTCTCCAGCCCCAGAAAATTTTGTAGCATCTGTCTTGCCTTTTTAAAAACATGTATCTGCCTGAAGTAGAAGGTGCCTTAGCTTTCTTTGTTTCTGTTCAATGTGATCTTCTTTACAACATGCAGCTAATTCTGGCCGTCACTTTCCTAAATGTTTTATATTCCATGTCATCCTTTCATGTTCTTTATTGGTGATGGTACTGTTTCTCTGCCTCTGTGATTCTGCCTCTACTCCCACACAGTGTTTTTAGAAATTAGACTTTTTGTGAAATGTCCTGTAACATCCTTTAGTGTTAGTCTTTAATTATGCTATAAGTTTTATTTATAGGCTCCAGTCTTTAAGGTAAATAATTTCATATGAAGCATGTTTGTGTGTAGTAAGGGGAATAATTAGAAACTTTAGTAGCAAACCTAGGCTTTTTTTTTTTAAGACAGGAGTTTTCAAAGCTTTAATGTATATATACAGATCTTGTTAAAATGCAGTTCTGATTCAGAACTCAAGTGTTGTTTAAGGTATTTTAATGAATTCTTACACAATGGCCTTAGCTAAATTTTGAGATCTCTCTTTCAGGTCCCCTGTACTTCTGGTAGGTAAGATTGCTCATGTGTGGTTGATGATCTTAAATGATTTTGAACAAAAAGGAGATGTGTCAAGGACATGGAAATATGGAGACATGAGGTCCTGGCAATGCTTTATAATGTACCTTGTGAATGATGCACTTCAGAAGATGGAGTTTGGAGTCAGAAACAGACTTTGCTACTGCATGCACATCGCTAGCCTCAAAACTAGTTCTTTGTTAAGATTGGCTAATACTTTTTAGAATTAGGGAAAGATTAATATCTACCCAGAGTACTTCTGACATGTGTTTGATGTTCCGTACATGGGAAAGCTGCTAATGGTAGAAACTTGACTAAACCTGGTCTAGATCATAAAATAGATGACTGACCATCTTTTGAGAAAGTGGAGTTCACTAGTGTGGGTTGTTATGCCATTTTTCTATTTGGATAGGTCATAGTGGAGGATTTCTGTGTTGTCGTTTGAGACAAGGTCTTACTATGTAGCTTTGACTGGCTTAGAGCTTGCTTATAGACTAGGCTGTCCTGGAACTCAGAGCTTCCTGCCTGGCCTCCAAGTACAGGGTTTAAGGGAGTATGTCACCATGCCAGGCCTCAAAGTAGGAGATTTTTATAGATACAATTCCTGTTGTTGATACATTATTTTTGCAGGAGCCCCAAGATACTAACAGTTTGAATATAAGCTGAAGTATATAGAATTTGTGGCTGATGAAACATGTATCAATACAAGTGAATAAAAACTGGAGTGAATGAGTAAAGTGAATGAGTAAACCATGTTGGGTTTTGGCTCTTTCCAGTCCATGTAAGAAGCAAAAACAAAAATTTTGGGTAAAGACATAGTTCCCATAGCCCATTCTTGTCCTTCTTGGTGTCCCTAGGTATAACCCCATTAGTCTAGTCACCCTTAGTCATTTTAAAATTATTTTTATGTTCACTGGTGTTTTTCCTGCATGTATGTCAGTGTAAAGGTGTCAGATTTCCTGGAACTAGAGTTACAGACAGTTATGAGCTGCCATGTGGGTGTTGGGAATTGAAACAGGGTCCTCCTGGAGAATGGTCAGTGCTCTTAACTGCTGAAACTCTCCAGTCCCCATTTTTTTTTCATACTGCTTTGTGCTTTGTGATGATGCAAGAACACATTTGCACCTCAAAGGAAATAGTATGAATGACTATGACCTGGGAATGCAAATTCAGTTTACCCCAAAATACCATGTTCCAATGTAGTAATATTTTGATGAAATTATAATAGCAACAAAAGACAGTCCCTAAATTAAGGCACTTTAAAAATAAACCAATGATATCCAGTTGTAGTGATATATGTCTTTAATGGAAGCACCTGGGAGTCACTAGTTTGAGGCCAGCCTGGTATGTTCAGACAGTTCCAGGCCAGCCAGTGCTACATAGTGAGACCCTGTCTTGAATAGAGAAGTAAATAAACTGATTGAAATGCTAGGTAGACTGATTATAGTAAAGCCTAGGAATTCTCTGCTATAGACTTTTTAAATGTTATCTGATGACATTCTTAGCCTTTGGGGACAGTGGAAGCTACACTGTACAGCCCCAAAAGATTTCTCTTAAGGTAGGGGTGTGTGTGTGTGTGTGTGTGCGTGTGTGCGTGTGTGCGCGTGTGCACACGCGCATGTGCACTCATGCTCATGCATGTGTGCCATTAGGATATCAACTGCACATAAATCCTTGGGGAGGGGTGGATCTGAAGCTTTTAAGGTGCTGTTTTGCCAGGTGGAGCCTAGTTACTTTCTCAACCTTACCTACCTCAGCATCATTCCTTTTTTACTCTGTATCTAGTTGTAAGAACTTCCCCATCTCAGATTCTTTCAACACCAGAAAGAACCAGAATTTTTTTAGCATTATAGTTGACTCTTTTATGAGTTTTTAAAGATTTTTATTTTATTTTATATATGTGAATATTTTTCCTGCAAGAATGTGTATTACACACATGTCTGGGTCAGAATAAGGCACCGGATCCCCTAGAACTGAAGTTGCAGATGGTAGCCATCATATGGGGGCTGGGAACTGAACTTGGGTCCTCTGCAAGAACAGCCAATGCTTTTTTTTTTTTTTTTTTTTTTTTTTGATTGTCACCTAAGCTTCCTTTTGTAAAATGTGAAGGAGGAAGTGGCCTTCTACCTCTGTGCTATCATCCCTTTGAGGATTAAACAACCCTTTCATAGGGATCACCTAACACTATCAGAAAACACAGATATTTACATTATAACTCATAACAGTAACAAAATGACAGTTATGAAGTAACAACAAAACTAATTTTATGATTGGGTTCACCACAAACGAGGAACTATATTAAGGAGTTGCAGCATTAGGGAGATTGAGAACACTGCTCTAGGGCATTGATACCATTTCAGTAACTTGTGAGTGTAAATGATCTGTAAGTTTAACAATACTATTTTATTGGGCTTTGTAGGATCAGGGAAGAAGCTAAAATCTGCTTGCATCTTGCCTTTTGAAGCATAGATTCAGGAGCTTGGATTATTTTCAATTATTTCAGACAAGGATTTGATAAGACAAGGATTACTTGAGAAGTTTCTCAAGGATGTTTTTGTGATGGGTGTCAGAATCTAAGCATTTTGAGACATTTAGTTCCAGTATGCATTTAAGTGCTAGTACTTGAAAACCACTTTGAAAGGCCTAGGATAAAAGAATGTTTCCTTGAAAAGCAAAATAATAATAAACTGACTCCTTTGTGGATTTATGTTTGGTTCTCTGCGCACCATAGATGCTACACAGTCTAAAATAAAAAAGACCGACCACAGACTGGTGATATGTCTCAGCGGGTAAAGGTACTTGCCACCCAAGCCTGGTGTCCTGAAATTGATCCTTGGAATCCATCTAAAGGTCGAAGGAGAAAACTAACTCCACAAAGTTGTTCTTAGACATCTTGGCATGTGTACCCACACATTCATCATACACACACATACACTACCACTTGCCATATAATGGTATGTATTCCCCCCCACACACACACAGTATACTAACAATAATAATAACAACTAGTATTAAAAGACTGATTTTACCTGGTATTGGTTAAGATATAAAGGGACTTTGACTTGTCACTGCTGATGGGAATGGCATTTTTAATTTTAAACATTTTTACCACTACAGAATAATAATTGAACAAATACATCCACAATATTGCCTGCATTTAGGAAATAGGAAGCTAAGAATACACCCGGTCACTGTGTCTTTATTTGAGAGAAAAACAAAGGTCATATTCCTGAAGATAATGGGTTGGCTCAGTCTCGTGATAACAGCTGTTTTTAATGTGTTCTGTCACAGTTGGAAGTTGTTTGTCTAGTAACCCCAGGTAATGCCTTGACTTTAATTCCAGGTTGGAGAGGTTTATTCCTGCCACTTGGAAGCCTGGGAAGAAACAAGCTCTGGATGGCCTGTTTTCACTTAATTGCTAGTCAGAGCTAGAGTGGGGGGGGCAGTTATACTCAATGCTTATTGAGTACTTATGTTACTTGTGTTCATCTTGAGAGATGGATGGTGCAGTAGTTTGAATGAGATAACCTCCATAAGTCTCTGGTATTTGAATTGGTTTTGAATACCCCAATTGCTTGGGAGGATTAGGATGTGTGACCTTGCTGAAGGAAGTATATCACTTGGGTGGGGGGCTTTGAGGTTTCTAAAGACTCCTCCATTTAGCTCTCTGCCTATTGCTTATGGGTTGAGGTCTCAGCTGCTGCTTGCTACCTCTGCTCTGTCATTGTGAACTCACTAAGACTTTTTTTTTTATTCAGTTGAATAAAATGTCAAAGTAAAGCTTCTATCTTAACGTTGAGTCCAAAATTCATAGTGAAGCCTTTTTATTCTTTGTTCTTGTGGATAAAGAATGTACTTCTCTTAGATCCCTCATTACTTTCCCTTCCTTTCTCTTCTCCTTTCCTCTCTTGCTTGCTCTCTCTTTTTTGAGGGGGAGGGGATGACAGTATCCCAGGCTGTCCTGGAGCTCACAGGTATGCTGTACCACATCAGGCTTTTATTCTTTTTGATGTTAGGTATTTGTTTATTGTGTGTTGGGAATTTTTGCTGAGCACTTTTCATCTGCTGTCTGATTATTGAACCCGGTGAGCAGTGTTGTGAAATAGTTGTTATTTCACCCAAGATGCCAGTGAGAAGAAAGAAACTTCCAGGTGAGCTTCTGTCTGAAGGAAGTTTCAGACCAGGGTTTGTTTCTTCAGATAGTGGACTTTATGAATCATTCTTTTCCCACCCTAAATATTTTAAATTTGGGGCTGCATAGATAAATTGTACCTGTTAGAAGTTTTCAGAAGAGAACTTCTCAGATGAGACATGCTTATGCTATTAGTCTGTATGTTACGTGCAATTCTGTGTTTTAGCAAAATATCACTAGAAAAGTGGAAATCTAATAAATACACTGCTAGTCAGTAAAGGAATATGGTTTTGACTTAATTGTACTGTGGTTATATCCAGACATTAACAGCAGCTGTAATCAGAGTTCCCAGTGGTGAAGTCTCAGATGATAGCACTGCTCCTTAAGCCTGGTGGCAGAGAGAGAACAGTTTTGCTGTTGCTTGAGTAGCAGGAGCTCTGGTGTTCAGTCATCCTGTAACTTCTAATGAGGACTGGGTGGCCAGGTCTCCCAAACTTTTCAGTTATTTGTACATTATGTTCAGTGTTTCTGAAATGTTCTCAGCAGTTGATTCTGCTTGGGTGACTATGGGAGAAAAGAAAAGGGCTCTTGTCTGGAAAGAAAATTAAGAGGTCATGAGCATTCCTTTTCTTTTCTTTTCTCTCTCTTTTGTCATCCTAGTATTAAGCATGCTCCAAAATCCACTGGGAAATGTCCTAGGAAAAACCCCCTTGAGCTTCCTGTCTCTGGATCCCCTTGGGTCTGACTTGGACAAGTTCCCAGCACCCTCAGTTAGAGGATCTCGCCTGGACACCCGGCCCATCCTGGACTCCCGTTCTAGCAGCCCCTCTGACTCAGACACGAGTGGCTTCAGCTCTGGATCAGATCATCTCTCAGATTTGATTGTATGTAACATGATCAGGAATGGGGGGTGTGGAGGTGGAGTTGTCTGTGTCCTAGGGGAAAGATGCTGCAGTGTCTGTCTTAGAGCTTGAAGCAGGATGCATGCAAGAGAGGAGATCATCAGGCACCTTCTTTATAGCCATTCATCCTTAGCAAACTCAAGGGCACTTTGAATGTGAGCAATACTTTTTAGGACTTGTACCAAGAGTTGTTATAGAACAACTTTCAAAGTAAACATGAGCATCTTGTCAGTGTTCTGTTTCTTGAATTACATGGATGTTTCCTTTTTAGCCTTTAAACAATATTAGTTATATTCTTCTATGTACAATACCTAAAGTTATAAGTGGTATTTTAATAAATGACCATAATAATTAATAATTAATACTGAAACTTTAACAAGATTTGACTCCAGCTCCTGTGCTTTTGCACTGACCCATGCCAATTCAGTCTGAAACTATCAAGTTTAATCTCCCATGTTTCTTACCTACAGCCATGTGTGACATGAGCAGTCTCCATGCTGATTGGTTAGGAAATGCATTAGCGTTGGGGAGGATGGTATAAATAATGTATATAGAATAGCATAAACAATATATTTAGAGGGTAGAAGTAATTACATGAATGTTCAAGGGAAAAAGAGGCAGTGAGACAATTTTCTGAAATAAGATTCAGTTTAAGGTCCTATCTCAGCCTTGCTTTTCTGTTACCAGATATCCTAAGCTAAATGTTTAATGAATAGGAAGACTAATTTCTCATCTTTTTATCTCTGTGGTTTTCCATTCATGGCTTTTAGAACCCACCCTATCTTGTTTTTCCATCTGTCCTGTACTATGAAAGATGACATTAGTATTGCCATTACCCATTCAGTCTGTCCAGATTAGTTTCTAGAAAGACAACTACAGTCAGGTTCTTCACTTCTCTGAGCCCTTTAAGAGGGGGTCACATGAGGTGCTTGTTCTGTTTCATCACTTGAGATAGAACTCATCTTGGAAATTTACCTCATGCCTGACAAATACAGCTTTCTCAGATACCCACCTAAGAATTAATTCAGAAAGAGGCAAAGCTAACACAAAAGAGGAAATGTAAGAGTTTTTGTATTTACAAAAATATCAACAAACTTTAATAATATATCATTTTGACACTTACAATTTCAAGATTTTATACAAATACATAGTGTAACATGTTCAAATACATTTCTAATAGAGCATAGAGCCACCAGAGAAAAAGTTTAGCCACAGGGAACTGGATCAGTAGGATGTAGTTGGTCTCCTGAATAAAATGTGGTAAATTTATTAAAATTGTTATGAGAATTCTGGCAAGAATAAAACTGTCTATTATGGAGAGATGAATTTTATTTTAATTATAAATAATCTTTAATATTAAAAATGAATAGGAAAACAGATAAGAGAAAATACATCAAATTACAAATGTTATATTAAATACCTTTCATATTTTGTTATATGATTATTACTTTATAACAAAACTGTCTTTTAAAACTTGTGTCTTCCTTTTTTCTCCCAGTCAAGCCTCCGCATTTCCCCTCCTCTGCCCTTCCTTTCTATGACGGGAAATGGTCCCAGAGACCCTCTAAAGATGGGAGTTGGGTCCCGAATGGACCAAGAACAAGCTGCTCTTGCTGCTGTTACTCCCTCTCCAACCAGTGCTTCAAAGAGATGGCCGGGAGCTTCTGTGTGGCCATCCTGGGACCTTCTTGAAGCTCCTAAAGACCCTTTCAGCATAGAGAGAGAAGCTAGACTACACCGGCAGGCTGCAGGTGAGTGCAGGGCGAGTGAGGACTGAGACATCTCTCTAGAGACGGAACTGACCTTTGTTCACATAATGGTGAACTCTTCTGTGTGATACAAGTTTCCAGATCTGTAAAGAACCATCAGTTCTGTAGAATAAGGGACAGCCTTGAGACTAAGTTGAAAGAGGCAGATAGCCTGTGCCACAGTAGAAATGGCTGGCCCCACATCTTATGTGGGCTTCTGTGAAAATTGGCTGTGCCCTGCTCTTCTTTTGCTGCATGAGAAAGACAAAATCTTGAAAATGATGCCTAAAATTTTGTCTGCCTTTCCTATTTCTAATTCAGAGTCATAGCAGTCATAGTTAATTTTCTGGCTTTCTGTCCTGAGTTTTTCTGATTTCATTCAGGGTAGTCATCCTCTAAGATATGGGATACCACTAGATGCTCTGATCTCTTTGAAATTCTTCAGTTTTTATCATTTAAATAATCATAAGTCCAGGCTGGAGAGATGATGGTTCAGTGCTTAAAGAGCACTGGTTTCTTTTCCAGAGGACCTGGATTCAGTTCTCACCATCCATATGCCACCTAACCTCCATGTACGTCCAGTTCTAGGGGATCCAAAACTCTTCTGACCTCTGCAGGTATCAGGTGTGCACACAGCACAGATACATACATGCAGTCAAGACACCCATGTGCATAATACAAAAATATTTTAAAATTTTGATTGGTTTGTTTGGTTTTGGTTTTTTTGAGACAGGGTTTCTAGCCCTGGCTATCTTGGACTGGCTTTTAGACCACACTCAAACTCACCTCCTAAGTGCTAGGAGTAAATAAAGGCATGTACCACTACTGCCTGGAGAGGTGCATAATCTTTAAGTGTGCATTAAATCTGTTTTCCACATTACATTTGAGCTTGAAAGTAAATGAGCTACTTGTATCATTAACTACTAATGTTTCAGAGCTTTCCATTCAAATCATGGTTTTGAGGTCTGGTACCAGACTGAATGAATGTTATTTCTATAACATATATCTGTATAGAACTTGTCTCTATCTCATTTTCTCCTCTAATAGTGTGAATAGCCTATTTATCTGTTTTTTTTTTTTCTGATAGCCCATGTTTGTGCTTACTATATAAGCATTGTATGGTATGCTTTCTAGAGGCTACTTGGTTTTGTATGAAATATTGATTGCTAGCACTGCCCAGTTTCTTGACAGTAACACATTAGCACTGTACATGTTAGGGAATGGCCTGGTATCAAGGAGGGTATAATGGTTCATCTCCTTAAATGTTTTCCTCAGTGCTGAAGGAAAAGGGTAATTTGTCAGGAGTAACCAGTCCTCATCTAGGTCATATTCCTATATGAAAGGCCTGAACTGATCTCCAAGAACAGACTTCTGAAAGCTAGTATGACAAGCCAAACTGAAGAGAGTTCCAAACCTACACAGCAGAAATGGCCTCTTGACATAATTGGATTTGACTTAAATAGGTAGTTGGAGGGTTAGGGCAGAAATCCCATCATCATACAGTGTGGGCAGCAGGGAAGCTCAATGCCTGCTCAGGTGCTTGTGAGTGGGTTCGTGGGGCATGATAATGTTCTTATATTGGTGAGTTGTGTTTTCTACTCTTCTGACAGTATCCTGACTTCTGTGGTTGATGAGTTTAGAGGCAAGATAGGGAAATGGTAGAGTGCTCTTTTATCTTGAGGAGAAAGTCAACTAGGGTCAGAAACTTCAAGGGCTTTACATATAAAATTGTTCTGTCTATTCTTTTAACTGTTTATAAATCTACTTAGTACTATAAACAATAGAAAGAAAAAACTGCTTTGTTGATAGAGTTATATAGTTGAAATTGCTTGAATTGTGATAGTTTTTTTTAAAAGATGTATTTATTATGTATATAGTATTCTGACTGCATGTGTGCCTGCAGGCCAGAAGAGGGCATCAGATCTCATTCTAGATGGTTATGAACCTCCATGTGGTTGCTGGGAATTGAACTCAAGACCTCTGGAAGAGCAGCCAGCACTCCTAACCACTGATCCATCTCTGCAGCACGAGTTGTGATAATTTTTACCCTGTACCTCTGCTCTTCCTTTCAATTTTATTGGAGGCAAAGCTGCTGGGGTAGGATTATCAAATAGCTTACATATTTGACAAGACATAAAGTTTTCTATCTTTCAGAATAACCATGGAGAGTCTCCTCCTGGGCAGCCAGGTTGGAATTGTGACTGTCCTATTTCTTCACAATAAGTCCATTTTAGAGAAAGGTAGTGACTGTTGATTGAACCCTTGTTTTTTCTTTGTTTCCTACCAAAGCTGTGAATGAAGCTACCTGTACTTGGAGTGGCCAGCTTCCTCCCCGAAACTACAAGAACCCCATCTATTCATGCAAGGTGTTCCTAGGAGGTGTTCCTTGGGATATTACAGAAGGTGAGCTGTCTCTGCAATCTCTTACAAGAGTTGAAGATGGAGCATATCTTTAAGGGGGTGAGCCCTCTGCTTCTGTTTGGGGTGTGAACCTCTGCCTCAGCAGAGTGTTACAGGAACAGCTGAAGGGTGGGTGCGTTCCATAAGCTCCCAGAGTGCTTCTGTGTGTCTTACACATGCGACCGGAAGTCAGTTTTGGAGGGTGCTGGTGACCCTGTGTCTGTCTTTCCTGAGTAGACTGTGTCTTGGTTTCTGTTCTTCTCCACCTGTGCAGCTGGATTGGTTAACACCTTCCGTGTTTTTGGCTCTCTGAGTGTGGAGTGGCCTGGTAAGGATGGCAAGCACCCCCGGTGTCCTCCCAAAGGTAATATGCCTAAAGGTAATAAAGACATGGTAGGAATTTTTTCCCTCCCTCACATGTGCTGTGCCACGTGGTGCTGGGATGTCACAGAAGCATGCTGGTAATGTAGGCACTCCAGGGTACAATCAGCACATCCACTTCAGTTTTCACATTCCTTTGTCCATCTGTCTGTCCAAACTTGCAGTGCTATGGGAGCTGCCACCAGACCCCTTTCCTGTGCACTTCCCTCCAAACCTAAACCCCACCAGTGCCTGTCCTCTTTAATGTGTTTCAAGAGTGTTCCTTGGCCTGCCTTTGCTGCCTGGCAGGTTGTCATCTGACCTAGTTCTGAGATTCCCTGTAGAGTTGTCAGGAATGAGGACCAGCTATCTGATTCCTCACTGGTCTAAAACAAGACCCTGCCCTGTAGAAAGGAGCAGGTGCTATTTTCACTCTGCCCCATCTTCATTGAACTTGAACCAATGGTTTAATTAGGCTTTTAGAGCAACTCCTGCATCCCCTGACAAACTGCTCTTCCTGGCTCTGCTGACCTAAGCATGCTCTGTGCTCTAGTGTAGAGCGCTGTGTACTAGTGGATGAGATCTTCTGTTCCAGCTCAACAATTCCTTCCCTTAGTGAAATAGGATGTGTATCTCTCTCCTTTAACCTGAGCATAAGGCCTATTAAGTGCTTCATTGGACAAGCTTTATCAGGAGTAGGAAAAAATATGTACTTTGAGTTGGGATTTATTTCAGTGGTAGAATGCTTGTCTAACACCACCCAAAAGACTATAGTTTCAATCCCCAGCATCTACCTCCAAAAGGGGGAGTGTCTCATGCTTAAGGCTACTCCTTACAAGAAACTCCCTGCTCAAAGCCATGGCTCTTCAGCCACCATAGGAGATGTTAAGTAACCACCCAAGGAATATTAAAGCTTCTTTTCCTTCCATTGGGTATAGGGTATGTGTATTTGGTGTTTGAGCTAGAGAAGTCTGTCCGGGCCTTGCTTCAGGCTTGTTCTCATGACCCAATGAGCCCAGATGGCCTGAGTGAATATTATTTCAAGATGTCTAGCCGAAGGATGCGCTGCAAAGAGGTGAGTCAGCTTTGTGTCCTGTATTTAGTTTCTGTTGCTCTGGTAGTTACTGTTTTATTGATGTGATAAAAACACATGACCAAGGTAGCTTATAAAAGAAAACATTCTCAATCAGAGTGAAGGCATGGCAGCAGGAACCAGGGAGAGGTCACATCTCTAACCCTAAAGCAGGAGGCCGAGAGCACATTGGGAATAGCATGTTTTTAAACCTCGAAGCCTGCCCCTCGTGACGTGACACACCACCTTCAACAAGGCCATAGCTCCTAATCCTCTCCAAAAAGGTCTGCCAACTAGGGACCAAGCATTCAAACATAATGAATGAGCCTACAAAGGCCATTCTCATTTAAACCAGCAATCACTATGATTAAGATGCCAAGACCTAAGGCAACTTACAGAAGAATTAATTTGGCCTTATGAGTCCCGAAGGGTAAGAGTTCATCAAAGTGGTGTACACCTTCAATCCCAGTAGTTGGGAAACAGAGGCAGACAGAGCTCTGTGATTCCAAGTCAGCCTGGTCTACAAGACATCCAGGGCTACCCACAGAAACCCTGCCTGGAAAAACAAATATTTTATTATGGCAGGAACAAAATGCTAAGTGCTCACACCCTATACCATAAACACAAAACAGAGAGAGCAAATTGGAAGTGGTAGGAAAATTCTAATTTCCCCCATTTCCAGTGACCCAAGTCCTCTAGCAAGGCTATACCACCAAAAACTTCTCAAACAGCACCACCAAGTGGAGACCAAGTTCAAATGCCTTAAACGTTGGGGAACATTTCTCATTCAAACACCACATATCCTTCCTGTGTCAAGTTAATTGTCACATCATGGCACTAGATTTTCTTGGAACCAGGGCGACAGTTGTTCTTGCTGAGGCAAGAAATCTGCTTTTCTTGTCCATGGTAAATAAATACATCATTAAATTGCATTTCTAAATACTTAAACTACTGTCTACAAAACTGCACAGAGAAACCCTGTCCTGAAAAACTTTAAAAAAAAAAAAAAAAAATAGGCTTCATCCAGAGGGAGGCATGTGAGTTAAGCTATGGAACCTTCTGGCCACACTGACAAGAGGAAGAGTGGCAGGAAAGGGGCCTTACTCAAAGGACTGTCACAGACAAAAAAGGGTGGTGGTGGTGGGGGTAACTGTTGGGCCTTCCAGAGGTAAAAGGGAGGCGTGTGAAATGTGCACACACAATCCTAGAGCCAGTGGAGATCATGCCTTCCCAACTGCTGCTTCTCTGTTCTGATCTACATTTAAATTCCAAACTTCAACTTAGAGATGAAATTGAAAACAGAAACTTTACTTGGAATAAACTGATAAAAATCTATAGCTATTTTCTCCTGATTCTCAGACTGTGCCTTCTGATCTCATAATATGTGGTGGATGAGTAAATTCTCTTTTAGCACAAATTCAGCCATGGCTACATCCCTCCCTCTCAGTGCTTTATTACATAGTGTTATTAATGTGTTGTCTTTTTATACATTCTTGGCATAAGCCAGTGTGTTCTGAACATCATACTCATTTCACATTGGGGAACTAACTCATTGCAGATTATCTCAGGCTTACTGATTGATTTGGGTAGAGTCAGAAATGTCTTGTAACAAGACTCCCCAAATGGGGATAGAGGATAGTTTTCAGAACCACTTGTTTTGAGTTCAAGAATTGGTGTTGTGGTGTTTTTATTAGGCTGATTCCAAAAAACATCACTTTTGTGACATTACTGAAATTTTATTGCTTCATGGGAAGCTAAAAATATCTCTACTTAAAAAGATCAGTGTTTTCCAGTGGAGAGAGACATCACTGGGCAGAACACAAAAGGACTTTGTGGGCTATGAGATGACATTCAGCTACCATTGCAGTGTTGTAAAAGTCATCACACATTTCCTCCAAACCAATAATGCACAGCAAACATGAGGAAACCCCAGTGTAAACTGTGGTCTTGAGGTAATGATAATTGTCCATGTAGGGTCATCAGCTAGGACCTTCTGGTGCATGTTGCTAGGTGAGGCTTGTTTGGGACAGGGAACATGTGGAAAATGTCTGTTCTTCAGTGCAGTTTTGCTGTGAACTAAATCAACTGTTAGAAAGTAAAGTTTTTTTTTCTTTAAATCTGTATCTTAAAGGGGAAAGTGCCCGTTAGGATGGTCATCACTTTTAAGAAATCCATTGACTAATCTGGTTCTTTACTTTTTAGAAGTTCCCCTGTATTTCTGTTATTCAGTCTGACAGAAGTTGTTCATTCTTTGGCTCCCACAGTTCCCTTCCTTCTCTCCTCACTTTCTGGGCCTGAGCTCTTTCTTCCTTTGTTTTCTACTGCCACACATGAGGCTGTCATGGGTGCAGGGCACCGTCTGCCTCATGCCCCTGGTAATACGTTCCTATCTCCCACCCAGCTGCAGGCCATCCCAGTTCTCACACCTCTGTAACTGTCTCTTTGTGTGTCCTGACTGTCGTTCACCATTATCCACACAGTATTTGACTCCCCCGTCATCTTTTCTGTCTCAGATAATTTACTCATTTATACTCTTTTTAGACCCAGATTTACATGCCTAACCTCCTGTCCTATGATATATTCCATAACTCTATATTGCCCTATGGGCAAAGTAGCCTTTTTCATGAATTTGCAGGGCTGGTTGGCTTCCCCTGGTACCTTCTACCAGGCTCTCCAATCCTCAGGCTCTGTAGGTCTAGGTCCTGCCTGGTTCCTCCTTGCTTACCCACTCAAAAAGTCTGAAGTCTACAGACTTCCATTGAAGAATATCTTGTCACCTGTGACCATTGCCACCAGCCTTGTTCAGGTTTTCTTTTGAATTGTTTTTACCTACTTATATTTGCCTCAGTTTTCTTCTTGCTTCAAAAACATTTCTAAAAGATCTTCACAGACTAATTTTTCAAAATCGGTCACTGGTATTTGTAAGTCTACTTCATTGTAACACCCTCTTCCTGCTAGACTAGGTTTGATTCTGGAATCAAGGAATCAGAGGGCAGAGAATGTCAGCACTTGTCCCAGTGAAACTAGCTTTTCAACACCTCAGTTATTTGTGCATGGCTTTACATGTTCCCATGTTCCCACTGTTGTTGGCACAAAGCCCTCTAAATACCTAGGTTTAGGCCAGTAACCCTCTCACTGATATAAGTATTTCCACCCTTCTGTCCTTCATGCTTCCAGCTTTTAAATGTTCTGTGAATTCTACCTTTCACAAGGACTCTTGTTTTCTTTCTTGAAAACTCATGCTCTGTTAGTTCCTGTGGCCTGTCAATTTGGTACTTGTTGCTTACTGTGCAGAATGAGCAAGTTCTGTTGTATTTTCTCTCACCATTATGAACACAGGAAATTCAGCTCAAGTTGGGTTGGATAAGGATGCTTTACTGGAAGCCTGTGTGCCTCAGATGGGTGACAACATCCTTTCACCCCTGCACAGCCTCAGTAGCTGCATCTCTAATATCCAGAGCATGTGTTCTACCATATAGGAGACTCTCTGAAGCTGCCAGCTGATAAACCTTTGTGGGGGGGGGGGTTTTCAGGTGCAGGTAATCCCCTGGGTCTTGGCTGACAGCAACTTTGTCTGGAGCCCATCTCAGAGGCTGGATCCCAGCAGAACGGTGTTTGTTGGTGCCTTGCACGGGATGCTCAATGCTGAAGCTCTGGCTGCCATCTTGAATGACCTATTTGGTGGAGTGGTGTATGCTGGGATTGACACAGATAAGCACAAGTACCCCATTGGTGAGTGTCCTACTTCTGTGTGGGAAAGCTTGGTGCCTCTGGGAGTAAATTAAGATTTAATACTTGCCCTTGAGAGTAGAAAGAGAACTGAAGTAGGTTTGTAAATCATATTTTCCTCCAGAAGTTACCAATACTGGCCCAGCTGCATCTTGCCTCTGCTCCTGTTTTCCACATTGGGAAACAGGGTGATTGTTAATATTGGTGAAAATGAGGCAAAAAGTTTGTTGAGACTCAAAGTACACAACCAAAGAAGTTTAGGACAAACTGTAGGTAGTTTTGCATTTAAAGACATACTTTACTGAGAGCTTGCCCAATTTCCTTTATTAACAGTTCTTGCCAGACATAGAAGCACATGCTTGTACTTAGGAGACAGGGGCAATTGGATCTCTGAGTTCAAAGCCAGCCTGGTCTACAGAGAGAGTTCTAGGACAGCCAGGGCTACATAGTAAGATCTTGTCAGGAAGAAAGGAAACTTTGTTTTTACATCTTTGATGTTGTCTAGAGTAAGAGACAAGGTCAGAGCAAAGGTGCTTTCTGGATAACTCAGCAATTGAGCTGTTCTGACCACTGACTTTTGATGAGCTTTTCAGAGAAAGAAGGTTAGTTCTAGACTTGGTACAGCAATCTCAGTGATTGGGTTTGGAAGTGGAGCAGGCCTGAAATCTGATCAAGGCGTACAGAGTTAATCCGCCTTTCCAGGTGCTTGGTCTACCCACCCACACTGAGTCTGGTTAGGAAGGAGCACTTGTGCATGTCAATGCTGCCCTGCAGATGGAGAACTAGGACTTCAGAGTGTAGGGGGCAGGGACCGCACTTGGCAGGAGAGGGTTCTTCTGCTAGTTCCTAGTTCTCTGAGGTGCCTCTGGGTCAGAAAAGGTTTGATTGTCATTTCTACCCTTCAGAGACAGTTTAGTCTTCAGCTTGGTTTCCACCTGAGCCCTTTACCTTTCTCTGTGCACTACCTATATGGGAGGCAGGGAACCCCTTCCCTTCCCTCTTTACTAAATGGTTTACAGTAACATGTAATGATGTTACTGTCCAGTGTGATAGCCACCAAGAGAAAGTGGCTGTTGAGTACTTGAAATGCAGCTTCTCCTATGTGTTAAAGTATCCGGGACACAGCCAGGCAGTGGTGCCACTCACCTTTAATCCCAGTACTCGGAAAGCAGAGGCAGGGGGAATCTCTGTGAGTTTGAAGCCAGCTTGGTCTACAGAGTGTGTTCCAGGACAGCCAGGGTTACAGAGAGACCATGTCTTGGGGAAAAAAAATTCTGAACACATAGGTTAAATATATTAAGATTCCACTATTTTGCTGTGATAATCACTAAATTAGAAATTACATAAATACTTACATTTATGTCAGACAACAATGGTGTAGAAACAGGGTTTCTTGAGTATTTAATAGAATTTGAACAGTAATGTGTAAGTTTGTGCCCGGTTTTCCTAGGATCTGGCCGTGTGACTTTCAATAACCAACGTAGTTACCTGAAAGCAGTCAGCGCTGCTTTTGTGGAAATCAAAACCACCAAGTTTACCAAGAAGGTGAGTGGATGATGCCCTTATTTTGAGAGAGACTTGGATCATGTACAAAAACAGCATAGTTCCAAGGTCAGGGCAACTGACGAGTTAAGCTGAGTTCTGGGTTCTCTGGGGACTCAAGAGGAAGGGCCCAGACTGTTAGTGCCTGAGTAGGTATGGGTGGGGAGAAGTTCCCTCGTTTTGATATTTGTCTGAAATTGCTAAATAGATTGACTTTCTTTATCCCCTTTTACCCAAATCTTCTGAACACTTCCCTGATGATAATTGGTGGAGAACCAGGGTTCATTTTGCTGAGAAAGGTAGGCAATAAAGCCTGTGGTTGTCAAATGTTAGAAGTAACCAGCTCTGTCTCTGTAGCTCTGTAGGATATGAGTCTATCCACTAAAAGTCATATTAGACTCTGGCCCACAGTTCTGTCTAGCTTCCCTTAGAACAGACAAACATCCGACATCCCTGTGTCCTCAGTAATATGCTACTAAAGCTCATCTGATCCATAGATCCTTTTTATTTCCCTCTGTTGCTGTTCCTCAGGTTCAGATTGACCCCTATCTGGAAGATTCTCTGTGTCTTATCTGCAGTTCACAGCCTGGCCCTTTCTTCTGTCGAGATCAGGTGAGTCCCCTGGGCACTAGAAATGTCTACCAAGTTCCCACCACAATTAAAAAATGTGTTAAAGCACATTACGGCATTGAGTATTAGAGTTCTTAGATAAATGGTGATGTCTGAGAGCATAGAGACAACAGTCAAGAGGGCACACTGTAGATAGGTTCATTCACAACTCTAGGTATATTGGAGTGCTTTTTCCTTTCCCTTCCTGGGCTACTGCTGTAGAATATGGCCATTGGTGATGGTGAGTACTTTTTGCTTTAGTTTTTGGAAATGGTCTTACTGTTTAGTACTGACTGGCTTGACACTCATGTAGCCAAGCTAGTCTTGAGCTTGCAGCAAGCCTCTTTCTTCCCACTGCTTCTACCAGAGTCTTGGTATCACTGGCATGTGTTACCATACCCAGATGGTGGGTCTGTAGACATTTGGTAGTTGGGTACCTACGCATCAAACATTACTGATACTTTTTCTAAGTCTGACAAGCATGTCCAACTACAGTCTCATACTGTTTGTCTCAAGGTAACTTATGAATGCTGCCAAACCCAAAATTGTAATTTTAGGAGGACCCTCCCACCTTGTGAAGTGTTGGTTTGGTTTTATATCTGGATTGCATGGTTCTCCAGCATGAGTTGTGTAGATGACAGCATCATATGGCAATGACAGAAAGTTAGGCATGCTTTCCTGGGACTGAATTTTCCTCTACTTTATTTCTGAACTTCTAGATTGCTTTGGTATTTGTATCTGGGTTCTAACCACAGTCATGAGAGGTGGAAGCTACAGGGAAACTTTCTATTGGGTGTCTCTGGATGGGAGCTGGGTGTGCTTGGCAGTTAGTGCTCTCTGACTTGAATGCATGTACACATCAGCTGAGAACTTTGTTGAAATGAGAATCTGAGTCTGGGTTTGGTGGATTTTGATAAGTCTGCATTTTTAGTAAATTGCTGAGTATGTTTTGAAGGACCTCTTTTTTAAAAAAACACATTAAAATATGTTTTCATACATACATACAATATATTTTTATCATGTTCGACCCTACTCTTAACTCCTTTTCATCCACTCCTCTCAATTTCATCTTTTTGTTTTATTTTGATGCTGATACTGTTTGGTTTTATTTTTTGTTTTTGAGGCAGGGTTTCACCTTGAACCTCTAGTCAGCCTGTGACTCACTATGTAAACCAGGCTGGCCTCAAACTCAGAGATCATCCTTTGCTTTCCAAGTTCTGGAATAGAAGGTGTGCACCACCATGCCCAGTCTCTCTCTCTCTCTCTCTTTTTAAAAATAACATGAACACCTAGTCTCAATGTACTAATCATTTACTCATAGTAGTCCATCTACCAAGGGAGAAACCCTTAAAGAAAACTGACTTTCCTTCTTCCAGAAGTCATAAGCTGTCAATGGCTCTCAGCTAATAGTGGCTTGTGAGCCTTTCCCTGTTCATGCTGGATTGTTCATTGGGTTGATCTTGTGCAGGCACAGTCATTGAACCACATTTTGAAACCTTCTCTAGGATGTTTGGGAACCTTCCAGACTAGCAATTCAGCCATGCTTAGTTTGTCTTACAATGATGCTGTCATTTGCATGGAGGCCATAGATAGTCAAACACAGGCTCCCAAGGGAGCTCAGAGTAAGTTTGGGTAGTAAGGTAAAGCCTGAAAACAAATACCTTTCTAAATTAGTGTTTATAGATCAGTATCTTTCAAGTGCATCCTCAGTTTCTCATTCTTGGTAGGTTATGACTTGCTTAGGGTTATTCAGCTAGGAAAACCAGTCACTTCTCACTGAGAAGAGGAAGGCGTGTGTCCTTGTACTTGAATAGGTAATCGGTTCTTCAGATATTCTCTTATGTTGGCAGCCATGAGATCCAACTGCTCAGTAGTGAGAAGGGTGGGGAATTGGGAAGAGCCTAAAGTGTTTGCAAAGGTTACACAAAGCAAACAGGACAGCATTTGCCTCTGTCAGTCAGAGCTCTGTTATTGTGAGAGGGCTAGCGGGAAGCATCTCTCCCTGTACCACAGAAATCAGGGGGCTTCTATTTCCTCTTAAGGTAGAACCTTTATACCTAGTGCTAATACACTCTTCCTGTTTCCCTCACCTAGGTCTGCTTTAAGTATTTTTGCCGAAGCTGCTGGCACTGGCGACACAGCATGGAAGGTCTGCGCCACCACAGCCCCCTGATGAGGAACCAGAAAAACTGAGATTCCAGTTAGAGAAGCTGGCCTTGCCCAGTGGCCTGTATTGCCCAAGGCTGGCAAGACAGGCCTATGCCCTGCGCTGGCGCCCAAGGAGCTAGCTTTCTGCAGACAAGGGAAAATTGTAGTCACCTTTGTACTTGCTAAATCTGTCTTTGTTTCTGCACTAATTAATGCACAATGAGTTTTGTCAGATTTTGTTTTCAGGGGGTGTGCTAGAGCAAGGACCCTCAGGCTCACCCTCAAGCAAATGTAGTTTTCCCAGATTCTAGTTCCTCATTTTGCAAATGAAAAGAAAAAACAACAAACTATGTGTCCAGAAGGTATTGACACAGATGCCTACACTTAAGTTTATTAAAGCGCTTTTTACATTCCTTGCAATACTGACAGTGGTGATGCGCAGGTCTCATTGGTTCATTCTTGCAGTTGCCATACAGTGCCTTTCCATTTATTTAACCCCCACCTGAACGGCATAAATTGAGTGTTCAGCTGGTGTTTTTTACTGTAAACAAACAAGGAGACTTTGCTCTTCATTTAAACCAAATCATATTTCATAGTTTACGCTGGAGGGTTTTTACTGGTTCCTTTTTACACTCCTTAAAACAGTTTTTAAGTCATTTCGAACAATAGATTTTTTTTTTTTTCTGGCAGCTTTTAACATTATAGCAAATTTGTGTCTGGGGGACTGCTGGTCACAGTTGCAAATCAAAGTATTTGTAACCAAGGGAAATTATTTTATTTAAAACTGGACTGGAGAGGGTAAATTAGGTCTGAGCAGCTGCTGTATATAGTTTTAAATGGTTTGTTGCACCTTCTTACGTTGCACTTACGTGGCGGGGGAGGGTTGATAGAAGTTTTTAATCACAGTCACAGGACTTTTTTCTTTTGTAACTGAGCTTAAAAATTAAAAAAAAAAAAAAAAAAGGGCTGCTTTTTGGTGGGGGCAGGTGAAGGCTCACAGGAGCCCTTTCTCTTAGAGGGGCAAGTACCCTTCCTTGCATCTTTTATTTGAAGAATGTATGAATCAACAGAGTTGACAAAAAATACTACTGGAATTTGGAAACTTGACTTTTTCTTTTTAATTTAATTACTACTTGCCCCTCTGAAGGAAGCTGTGTGCCAAAGATCCAGTGTCATACCCCTCCTCCCTCCTGCTGAGCTGACGTTTCATTGTTGCATATCCCGGCTACTCTGTGGGTTTTGTGAAGCTGTGTGTGAAGTCTCTACCTCATTGTTGTATATGCAGGCAAGACTGCACTCTCCTACAGATGTGTGGAGTAAGCTGTGGTGTACTTTTTTTGGCACATAATAAACACGTTGCAGCAGAATTATGCTTTTGTCTCTCTATCTGAGGTAGATTCCAGAGAAAAGACTTCTTGGGTTTTCTGTAATGGGATTCCAGCCCAGGATGATGGTACCAGCATATGGAAACCTGCTCCTATGTGAAACCTGTTACATACTGGTCAGCCACTTTGCACTGTCCTGCAACTGAGTGATCACAGTCCAAAACAAGAGACCTATGTGTTTTAGCTCCTTAGCCATTAAGAATGCCAGAGGCACAAGCTCCAAGGTATCGGGAGCCACTGGCTCCCTGCTTTACTGTGAGCCCTGGCATGTTTCTCCCTTGGGACTCACTTGTGCTGATGCTACTCTTTTGAGTGGATGCTACTTTGCTTTTTTGATTCAGTGTCTTTGTCCTAGAATTGCTTATGTAAACCAGCCTAGCCTCAAACTCACAAAAATTTGCCTGGTAAGCATCCTAAGTGCTAGGATTATCGCCCTTACACTTAGAGTTTTTGTTACAGGTCCCAAGGCTTTTTGACAGGCCTGACATGACTTTCAGGTGAACAAGTTTTGAGCCAGGCTGCTGAACTGATGATCCTTGGGGAAACTGGTTCGAGGTAGAGGGCCTCAGGTGCAGAAACTCGCTAGGGGTCATGATCCAAGAGTGCCCTCCTGCAAGACTGCCTCCATCTAAGCCTGACATCCACTTTATTGGCATTTCACTGGTACGCTTGTGCGACACTTAGGGCATACTAATCTCTCCAGTCTCTTCCTGTTCCTTAGATAGTGGCATCTTTTCCCTCCTACTAGCTACTTTCAGGGTAAGGGCTTTCTGCGCTTCACCATCTGATCAGAGTGATGTAGATGGATGAGTTGAAGGTTGAGGCACAGCTGTGGCCCCCTTGATACATCTAACGTGACTGGCACAGTCTCACACGTCTCATGTTAGGTTTGAGCCTTAGGACCCCGCCAGGGAACAACTAGAGGAAAGGCCCTCCCTAGGCTGATGAGGGCCCTGGGCTGTGACTTAAGACCCTGCTTTGGACCTGGGTGTGGCAGAAGAGCCCGAAGATGAAGGTTGGCCTTACCTGGTTGGGCAGTGGAGCCAACTGAGATCTTAATTTGTTCATATAAACGTTTGAGAGTTTTCTGTGAGCCAGCCGCTGTCTTAAGCACTGGAGTTTAGTTAACCCTTCCTGTTTAGCTCATTCCGTGGTTGAGAAAACAGAAAAGTCATTTGACGTGCTAAGACATTTAAGAGCAGCTCCAATGCAATACTGTGCTGGGGTGTGAAAAGCCCCTCTGGTGAAGCTATGTTCGCACTAACACCAGGAAGTGGAAGGAGTCTTTTCAATCAGGCTCGACTCTACAAAATTCTGACCTGGGCCACGCGCGAGATGCAAGTCAGGGATGACTGCCTCTACTACTTTACCAAAGCGCGGGCTTCCTGTCTGCCTCACCCGAATGCCTCCAAGCGTTTCCTAGACGAAAGCACACTAAAAGTATTTCAAGCAGGAAACTCACACGGCCGGGCTACTTGCAGGCGCAGGCGCAGGCGCAGTCGCTCGCCCCGCCCCCCGCCCCACTCCACTCCGCCAGGGGGCGCTGCGGTTCGCTCGCGAGCCGCGCGCCGTCCCAGCAGAGCGGAAGCGGCTTTCTGGCCTGCGCTTTATAGGCCTCGCTTGTGCTTCCTGTTTCCTCTTTTACCGGGACCCGTCAACATGGTAGGTGTTTGGCTCCGGGGCCTCTATCCTTTTCAATCCGCGTCCATCCTCCGCTTGTGGCGGCCCCCAGCCCGCAGTGGGCCGGACCTGCGCGGTGTCTGTCAGCCTGGCGCGCTTCCACATGAAGTTGTGCGCGCTCCGGCCCCTCGGGGAGCCCGGCGCTCCCCGGGTCGGGGCGCGCTCGCTTCCCCGCGCTAGGCGCGGCCTCACCGGTGGTTGTTGCTCTTCACCCTCAGGGCCGCGTTCGCACCAAGACTGTGAAGAAGGCGGCCCGGGTCATCATCGAGAAGTACTACACGCGCCTGGGCAATGACTTCCACACCAACAAGCGTGTGTGCGAGGAGATCGCCATTATCCCCAGCAAGAAACTCCGCAACAAGATAGCCGGGTGAGTGCGAGCGGGGGCGGTCCCGGGCGGAGAGCCTGCCCTGGCCGTCCCCTTGGCCCGAGGTCCCCCAGTGCTCCGCAGAAGAGCTGGAGGTTCACAGCGATCACCGTGGCCGTGTGGGCGCCGGGAATGCAGTGCTGGGTCTCTTAAAAACCAATGAGCCGGGTCAAGGTTCAGGTGCCACATAGTGATCCTTGAGGGGCGGGCATGTGTGGGGCGTGTGTTTGTGTATAGGAGGCTCTCCGAGGGTGAGTCTGTCTTAATGTGCCCACATGCTTGCTTATGTGGGGACCAGTGGGAAGCTGCTGCGCTCACTCTTCCTCCCGGCTGGTGTGTTTGTAGCTATGTCACGCATCTCATGAAGAGGATTCAGAGAGGCCCTGTGAGAGGCATCTCTATCAAGTTGCAGGAGGAAGAGAGAGAGAGGAGAGATAACTATGTTCCTGAGGTAAACTTTTTGGGTCTTTCCCTGAACCTGTCTCCTGTCCAAGGGATAATGGGGGCTCTTGAGGGTCGGGCTCGTTTGCGGTGACAGGTCTTAGTCATTGTCAGCTCTTGGGTGTATTGATGCAGGGGCTCGTGGTGTAGAACAGGGTCACCTCAAATTAGTATTGGTCGGCCTGCCTTGGCCTCTTGTGCTGGGTGGGATTAGAGGAATGAGCTGCCACATCTAGCTAGACTTCTTTAGCTGGCTGTTGGTGTCTGTAATCTGCCAACCTGTTAGCCTTTCTGCCCCGTCCAAGTAAAGCTTGCTTTTTTCCCATGTGGGACCCCTGGGGAACTGTCTCCTGGCTTTATTAGCTTGACATGTCTTTAGTTATGAGCTCTATCTTCGGGCTTTCAGAATACCAACTAGAATAACTCTGGCATAAGAATAAAGCGGTCCAGGCATGGGGTGCATCCCATTAATCCCAGTGTCTGGAGCAGACAGATCTGAGTTGAGGCCAGCTTGGACTACATAGTTCCAGGACAGCCAGGGCTGTGTGGAGAGACCCTGTGTCAGAAAGAAGTGTTCTTCCTCCTTTTGTGGCATCATAACATCTAGTGGTGTGTGCCTTTCATCCCAGCATCGGAAAGTGGTTGGCACACATATCCAGGGATCAGCCAGGATGGGATAGGGAGGCCTGGTCTAGAGTGGGTGGAAGATAACATTCTTAATTTGGACTTGATTCTTCCCCTCCCAGGTCTCAGCCCTGGACCAGGAAATCATTGAGGTGGATCCTGACACCAAAGAAATGCTGAAGCTTCTGGTGAGTGGATGCCTCCTGGTGGAGGCTCTCAGTAGCCTTCCAGTGTTTGTGGCTGCCTGTTCTCTGTGTGTGTTGAAAGGGCTTTTACATGGGGCATTATTGAGTCCTTTGAATTTGTCTTTGTTGTGACGCTGGCTCCTAAGTTGTCCCCCCTTTTCAATTCAGCTCTGGCTATCTTGATTGTAACGTCAGAAATAATCTCTGGCCCCATTTCTAGAATAATAGGCACTGCTTGAGACTGCTGACAGGTGTTTCTGTCTTATCATAAGTGTGGAGGTGACCAGGGCTTCAGGGTCTACCTGCTGCTCATGATTTTGAGCAATTTGAGTTGCTAACAAAACTGTGTAAACCCACACCTGGCTTTCAGGAACCCGCAGTGTGGCAGCTGGAACGTGTGTGTCTGTCTGTCTGTGTGTATCTGCTCCTTGTGGGGCAGTCTCTGGTTTCAGCACAGCCTTGATTTCTCCTGAAGTCTTGTGGCTCCTGGGTGCTGAGTACTTGGGGACAGCCTGACCAGAATTCCTTTCCTGGTGCCTTAGACATCGGTTCCCTCCTGGGTGCTGAATGAACTGTGATGCCCCTTGGCTGGGCTGGGGGTTGTCTTAGGGACTCTGCCTACAAACCTCTCTCACCGTGGTGCTGTTTGAGCATAGTGTGCTTGCAGCCTTGGATATGCAGACTACAATAGAAAGTGCTTACAGACAGTTAGGCTTTAGGTAGGAGATAGTGTGTGTGGAAGGCAGGCCTGGGTTTTGTTTGTTATGGGTGTTTTGCAGCCTTTAGTTCAATTCAGTATGTCCTGGCTGGGGGTGGGGTATCTGCTCAGGAAGCAGGTCTGGCAGGTTGGATGAAAGTTTAGACAGCCCTGTTAACGATGTATTTAGTCCCGGATGAGTTGGAAAGCCAAGCCCCTTGTCTGACTCAGGTCTAGAACCCAGCTCCAGACCCCAATCTGCACCACTCACTGTTGTCATGTTCTGTTGCAGGACTTCGGCAGTCTCTCCAACCTGCAGGTCACTCAGCCTACAGTTGGGATGAATTTCAAAACACCACGTGGGGCCGTTTGAACCTGTTCTGTCATTTTCAATAAATCTGAAAACAACTTTGCCTGTGTTGTTCTTTCTGCTGTTGGGGTGAGATCCTGAGGCAGGCCTTCTCAGGACTAACTAGGCTGGCCATTGTCCGGGATAGAGCAGTCAGCTACTGAACACTAACAGGCCTTTGTGAGCAAACCTAGTGTGCTCGAAGGACATGGCAGAAAGTGGCTTTGCCAACAGCTGGTTAGGACCAGCATGACCAGTTGGACTACCATGGTGTCAACCAGAGTAAGGTAGGTGTTGTGGTTTTTGTTTTGTGGATGTTCTTTGGTGGGGGGCACAAATACCACAGATAGTACAGTTTCGGGCAGAATTTCAATCTGTTAGGTTTGTGATGTTATGTTAACTTTTGAGTCCTATAATTCAATTGTGAAAATTTCCCCCTTTGTAATCATGTAATCAGTAGGTTTCAACTTACCTAACCTGTACCTCATTAACATTTTGCCCATTTGGCATCTGTTGATAACTTTTGCTAAAACCTCCCACAAGGAGGGCTTTCATACTAAGTTCATCAGCTGTAACTGAGATCCAGCACTTGGGGCAGACAGTTGGATGAGGCCAGCCAGGGCTACAGTGTGAGGACCT